TAGGTTTGAAATTAAACATGTGCAATCGAAAAGCAGCAAGCCAAGACATTTTTGACAGCATTCAGCAATATCTCCTTCTCTGTGGTCTACACGTCTTCTCTGTGGTCTACACGTGCCCTTACTTTAAATACACAACCGTCCAGTCTGATCACTTTTACAAGACAGTAATACACTCTACAAGTAAAGAAATAGCACTTGCTGTTTAGACATTACAAAAAGAGATATGATATTATCCATAAGTTAAAAAATTCTAATGACTCTCGGAAGATCTTCATTTGTTTTATATTGCTGATGTAATTTTTGCCAATGCTCACTGTCCCTCCTTTGTCCTGATAACCATTATCCTAATGCCCATTAGTTCTTCTTAATCAATACAAGCAGATAAATGCCCTTGGTACGTGCTGTACATACTGAAGTATTTGTACTATTCTTTGCTTTTCATAATCACTACAAGCACAGTAGCCAAGTATTTGCTCTTTGAGTACACACAGACTATCTGTAGACGTATCTGTGCTGAATTACCTGTACACATGTTGTTTCGGCTCTGTTTACGACCGAGTGTAATCTCATCACGTAGCTCTTTTTCAACACCATCGTATGCATCTGCTTTCTTGAGTGCTGGGGTGCCTGCTCCTAACCTTTTGCAATAGCAGCGAGACACGTACGCACCCTAGTAATTTTTCTTAAAGAAAGTACTATACTTTGTTTCTTACATCGTCTACTAGCAAGACTTCTTGCAGTCAATGTGTTCACGACAAGAAATAGTTCATCGTTCTTACCACCAATGAGAGATATTTTTTGTTATTACGGTGAGAAGTAATAGAAAATATTTCGTGCCTTACTAACAAAAGCACCGTTAAATGCCTGTTATTATGCATCTGAATAGCTTAGCTTTCACGTGACGTCCCATACAGGCTCTCTGCAGTGGGTACATCACGATGGCGGTCCCCTTGAGTTTCTATCTCATGACTCCATGAGACAGTTTCAGTGCAGGGAAGGACACTTCAGAGTCATTTGGTCACCGCATTCTTTTGTGCTCCCCTCGCTTTATTCTGTTCCCCAGTTGCCCCAAGGGGGAGCACAAAAAAAAGCGAGGGAGCACCGGCCCTAATCAGATGACACACGAGTGACCATGAGACGCGCAGAACTATACGTTTTGCTGGTTGAACTTCTTGCACAGCTTGCACAGCATTGCACCTTATGTGTGAAACGTAGTATAGGAGCAAAGTGTTAAAAAAATACAATGGAAGTTAGTGCCAAGCAGTAAGAGCGTACGCTACAGGATGCACAGTTTAATTGTTTTAAGAGGAGAAGGCTGGCAATTGAACAATTACCTATATTGTGACGTAAGTTTTGGATGCCTCATGAAACACGAATTTTGACCCTCGGCGTCCCACAGCGTTGAAGATGAGGGATGAGAAAAATCAGTACGTGATGACATCGCAGATTACAAACGCTTGCGTCGTCAGGCCACGTTGCCATCGCTAGAGAACGAATTTCAGGCAAATGCCTACTTTATTCCTTGCGTTTCTATTATGCCATTTGGATAGTGTGAGCACAAATTATAAGTTCACGGTGGTTTTTATAATATGTATCTTTATAGTGCCTGTAAGTGCCTCAACGCCAATAGGTGCCTATACGTGCCTATTTTCAATATTAGGATCTATATAATCACTGTGTAACCTAAAATTTCATTTTTGAGTGCCGTTTGAGACCCTTATTCATGTTACTGTGCAATAAACATTGTTTGAAAATCGACGAGCTTCCGCGTAATACTTTAGTTCAACCAACTTTCAAATAACAGCCACTAGGAGCAATGAAATGGGATGCGCCGGCCATCATACATCGCTGCACCGCTGCAGTGACATGGCACGAGTAGTTTGTGAATACGGAACCATGGAGAGACATCAGGGGAAAGGAGAGTGAGCAGTAAAAGAAAGAAAAAATATTATGGCACACAGCTTTTGCATTGTTCCAATTCGCTTTTTAAGAGGTTCACCTACAGGGGTAAAATTCACTCTACGCAATTAGATGTAGCCAATACTAGGCACAAGGAGCACAGGTAACAATTTTTTTCAGGGATGGGCACAGGCCCAGTGTGCCACCCCCTGGCTGTGCCACTGCTAGGCATTCCACCCTTCTAGCTTTTCAACGGTCCTCTATCTGCTCTGAGTCATGCCAAATAGAAAGAGGCTGAGGAACATGTTGACTCGACAATGGACACTTGACTAAGCTGGCTATCAAAGAATTTGTAATACCCTTTCCTTGAGCTTAGCCCTCAAGGCTAAAATGCAATAGTGTGCGCATCAACTTCAAGCGTGCTACAAGGAAAGAAACATTTGTGCATGTAACATTGGCTGTTCAAAACTATTCTAGTATGTCTGCTGTATCTATAGTAGCTAAGCACCGACTACACCATAATTCTTCACTTAGCAAATTGACGACATATCCACAGCAGAAGCACTGACATTTGGGCAAGCTGGATTCTGTTGCGCATGTCTACTGGATTGAATGTGACACCCCAAGGGCAGATGTAAAGACAAGCACAGTGGCATTCGTGTACCATCTTTGCGTCTTTTCCTGTTGTGTCACGCAGAATCCAGTCATCATGCTTCAAGAGCCCATCATACGCATCCGAACTGCACAGCTGCACAATTTTTAATGGGTTGGCAGCTTCAAGCCACCCACTCCTAGCGCAATTGACTTGTTTTGACGGCTGGCGCAATTCTGAGATTCTGTCACATAGTATTACTTGCATAAGGAAACTCCTTTCTCCAATTGGCATTTTCACAGCATAATTTTTTATTAGAAAGCAGCTCTTAGAGGATCGCTCCTGCGTTGAGCAGGGTCGCTCTCAGTGGGGTAGCCAACAGACATGAGGAAGTAACCGACACACGTGACATAATAAAATGAAAAAGAAATATCCAAGTTTGGATAAAACTTGAACCCGGGCCCTCCCTGAATCGCAGTTGAGCATTCTATTAAAGGCCACAATGGTGCTTGAAAACGGCTTGCAAAAAGACCCTACAAAAGTGTCATGTTGGGCAAGAAATTACGTCAATGTAAGTAATATACCATCGCAGAAGAGTCAGATAACAACCAGTCATCACACAATGCAAAATGCGAAACAAATGTGTGGTTTAATGTTTCCCACCCACTGCTAAGTGCGCAGCCATAACTCTTCATCGTCAACAAAGTGCCTGTAATACCTTATAGATGTGTAGCCGGTACCTTGCTTATCTGCAGGAAGATGAATAATGGTGTAGAGGCTGCTGTCCCAGTCACAAAAATCATGTCATAGTCGATAATGTGCAAAAGTCAGAACGTCAAACATGGTTCGCCTTGCCACAACATGAAGCTGGACTCAGAATTCGCATTATGCAGTATTTTAATCACTGTTAAATTATTTTAAGAAGCATTTGCAAACACTTCCATTGTTGTGTGTTACAACACCTTCTCGTCAAGCAGGAGGCCTGCATTCAATCGTCAGCCACACCGAGCCTTTTAATTACTAAACTGCTTGCACCTATGTAGAATTTTCACTCACGAAAAACACTGGTTTTTTGCTCATAACTAGCGACGACAAGACCAAAACCGGAATTTCGGCTAAATGAGCTTTTTAATGGTATTGTGTAGATAAAAGAAGAGACTGTATCTCCTAACCGTGTGGGAAAAAGGACAACTGCATGGCTATGTTCAGCAGTTGGTGCCCTTGTGCCATCGCAAAAATAACATTTTTTACTTTTCTTTTGCACATACAGGTCGTGAATCTCTTCATTTTGAAATCATTTACACTGATGCACAAACTTCTTGTGCATACATTTATGAAGTTTAAGGCCTTAAACATGCGTTGACTGCCTATTTTCTTCACTTGAAATGCTGTTTTGCCTGCCTATTTCTGATGCCTAAAAGGCACTCTTTCAATGCCTAAAAATCTGACCTCTAGTTAATAGCATGGCACTGTAGCTTGGTGAAAGTTAGTTTGATCACATAAGCAATGCAAATGCGCATGAGTAGCCACCGATTTTAGAGGCAAACAATCTTAGGTGCAGGAAGATGCGGAAGTGTGGTGAGGCACGATCAATACATCGAATGGGGTCAAAAGATGATGGCTTTTTGCCTTATTCTTAAGTGCATGCATAAGAGACCCTGGCTGTTGCTATTTTTTTCCAGTAGTGCTCAGAGCAACAAAACGAAAGGAATTGGATATGGAAAACACTGGTCTAACAACCAATAAGCAGTCTAACAAAAGCTGCGCTCCAACAAGTGCTGGTCTATGTCCCAGTTGTTAGACCAGTGCTTGTTCTGTTGACTTTCTATTGAGCCGTTCCCCTGTGCGCAAGAAATGAGCAGTTTAGTAGTATACTGTAGGCCTGGCACCGCTACGATTGTAACGGCCACTCTGTCCGCATTACAATCCACCAGACTTGACTAACAGCTTTTGAGATGATGCAACACATAACACTTGAATATTATTGCTGTCCTCTAAGGACTCCGGCCCACATGGGCAGATTGGCCAAGAATCTGGTGAGTAAGAATCATTGAATATGCATGCACTTTCCTGCTTGCATCATCAACCTTTTCCTTATTCATCCCACTTCCCCAGTGCGTATTAGTCAGTCTGACTACAAGCTTTCTGTAAGTAAATACTTCCACATTTAATAGTATATATCGCATGTAATATAGGAGATCCTGCTTCTAAATATCCTAACAAATGCATCCTCTATAAATGCACAGCAGCCCAGAATATATTGGCGATTACGGCATAATTTAGAACTTTATTACTGTTAACTCCGCACAACCCGACGATCGAGGAGTGGCTGAGCCGTCATTCTATTTCGCCCGTGAGCTGCTAGAATTACGTGAGCCATCATTCAAATGCACGCGCCCGCAAACGTATGCACGCCGACAAAACAATCAACAGTTAAACGTCCTCAAGAGAGACGGCAAGAAGCTACGGCAGGTTAAACGGTGGCAGGCATCAGTAAGCACAAACTTACATTTGGCCATGATTCACAGCCCTTTCACATCAGGACCACAAAAACCAAAGCGCACCGGTGCAGTTGGCAGACATACGAGTGCGGTGACACGGCGCAGCACTGAAAGGAGAAATAAGAACCCCGTACGTGTGTGGTGAGCGCGACCGCCGATGCAACAGAGAAGGAGGAAACACAGGACCGCGACAACTGCCACACACAGGAACGACCACTTCTCTCTCCTCCCGTCTACCGGGCCTCGTTCACTCAGTCTTTTCGATTTGTTCTCTTTTCTTTCGCCCAAACGCCAGCTGAGCTGCCGACGCACTCTGGCTATCTCTGAGCGGTTCACGGAGATAATAAAATTGCGGCCTCAAAAGCCACCAGGCGTGGAGCGTCAGGGCGCTACAGGTTATCACGAAAGTTGAGGCCGCCTAACATTAGCACGCGCGAGTTACTCCGACCACAACGCACTATATTTTCCCTGGCGCTTCATAGACCTGACACAGCGCACATCGGTAAAAGTGAACTTAAAACTGTGCAAAAAAACTAAAGCTGAATGGCAACCCGACATCTATTACCATCCAGCCTTCGATAAAAGGGAGCCATGTACTGCACAATACGGGAAGCGTGATCGACGAAACAAGATGACAACACGATCGTGGCAGTGGAGGACGAGACCTTATTTATTGAATCACCGCTGTCAATCGCGTACTGTTCGTCCTGTCTAAGACGCTCAGGAAGGCTGCACTTGGCTAGTCATCTTGAGCGATAAAAGAACGTGACACGGGGCAGCTGCTAGCAGTGCGCAGGTGTGGGACGAGGGCGACAAACAACACGATCTCTCGCGAAAAGGAGGCTGCTATCAGCTTTTTTTTACAGAGCATCGAGGCAAATTACCGCGACAGCTTTATCATCCCACCGTGCAAGTTGGCACCCGACTCGCCAGGGATTGGATGTTGCGCAAGAACGGTCAACTCACGTGTGGTTTGTTGTCATGTGCTCTTTCCCTTCACGCTCTCTCGTGCATTAAATGTTGCTGATGGTCAGCCGGTTCCGCCCGTGCAACTACTGGCGGCGTGGGACTCTGATAATGTGACCACCGCGAAAATATGGAAACACGAGACGCCACCGAACCGTCGCCTCCTCTAAATAAGCAGCTACATCGAACACCGTTGGAAACGGCGTTCGAGACTCTTCGCGCATGATTCAGCAACAAACCCTAAAATAAGAAGTTCAGAACCACGAAAAGCTTCCTCTGTGTTCGTAACCGAACGCCACAGACTTGCCGCCAGGGCTGTTAGTTGACGAAAACGAAACCGAAATCCATGTTGCGGACGCTCGACGCATAGGGGTCTAATGCTGAAGCAACAGTGAACGTATACCAATAAAATAGTGAGAGATATCGAACATTATTTGCAACTAGGCAGAAAAGGTAACCGATAAAGAAAGGAGATGTGTAAGGTTGATTTCGTGGCAGGCGGTCACTGAAAACTCGGCGCAGACGGGCTGAGCGCCTATAATATACTTCCCACCTCTTGCGGTTCTTACACGTGTTTATAACATAGTACTGCAAGGGGTAGTAAAAAGAAGTAACGATGTGGAAGGTTTATGTGTAGGTGATGAGTGTGGAAAGGAGGATCAGGAGAGGTGAAACTATAGTATATATCAAGGGGTGGCAAAAGTATTCATTCTCGCACCACCTTTATATATAGCCTAGCTCACATCACTTCTCAATACCACGTACGCGATGTGAGCTAGGCTGAGTAGGACGGAAAGAAATAGGGAAGCGGGTAAACTATGCAGCCATGAGACGTAGAGGAATTAAGGAAGGATGTGAGGGTCTGAAGGAGGAGAGGATATGATATAACAAGTGGATAAGAAACAAAACACCAACTTCAGTGGCGTAGCTGAGCGGGGGGGTGCGTAGCAAAACAGGCCCTTGCCCCCCCCCCCCCCCCAAACTGCTTTTTCAGCATATTTATACGTTACACCAACAAAAAAGGAACGTGTTCCCACCCTACGTCACCAACAAAAAAAAAGTGAAACGCGTTAACATTATCGTTACCAAAAAAAAAAGGAGAAAATTAACGGACGTTACCTCTGCCGTTACACCTCAATCATAAATTTTAATCCACGTGTCTTTGCTGTAGGAAGCCCTAATATAATTATACATATATTGTATTTATGTTTCACATAACACTTTTTACACAAAACTTAAAATGCTAATTAAATGAGAAAGTATTGCGTCTTCCTTCCTAACAAATTAACCTCGCAGTCATTCCTCAATTCAATCACCAACGCTTTCCGCGAAGAAAAAGCCATCGAACTCTTCACAAATTTACAGTAGTTCTGATGCAGTACTTCAAAATATATGCGCCAATTTTATAGTTGTAAAAAATGCTTCAATGACCTAGTCAGGTATTTTGTTCTCTTTAACCCCTATAATTACCGCAAGATTGCAACGTCGTTTATGTGAACATGCCAAAACCAGCTTGGCTCGCTCGGCAGTTCAGTAACGGAAACGTAGCTGCAGTCGCAAATAGAACAAAAAATTAAATTTATTTTGAGAACGAAGTTGGTAAGCAACACTTAAGAATTTCAAATACAACTTTTCATCAACCACAGCAACAGCGGCCTTTCAGGTCTGTCGTCAGACAGCTTGCCTCGCTTCTTAGTGAATACGTACGTCCGCCACTATACTGAATAGGCACTCGATAGATGCACTAGGTAGTACTCCCGTTTTCACGTTGAGAAATATAGTAGGTAAATACGTGGAAAGTTTTTCTTGAGCACACTCAGCGCGAAGTCCCGCAGCACTAAAAGTACCGAGGAAGTTCTTCGTCGGTCAGTGATGTCGTCAAACGACCGTTACCGAAGAAGTCATCCTCCGTTGTGCTGGAGCTCATTCGAAGAGCTGTGTCATTGTCTGCAAGCCGAGCAAATCTCAACAGCTTGTTTTTGATGGTATCGACGGCGGTAATTCACTTCGCTTCATCGCCAATCCATCACAACTTGAACCTCGGTAGCAAGGTAGCCACAAGAAGCAGATCCTTCTGATCGATAATAGTGATGAATCTGTGTCAACGAAAGACTGTAATTAGCAAAATGTTTTTTCCAAAATCCAGGGAAACATTTTCGAATATCTATGAACATTTCAAAATGGCATATTCTGTATTTCGCGATATCTATTAGCTCTTTTTGGCAGATGGCAATAAATTACTGATAATATCCGACAGCATATAAAATAGGTTTCTTGCGATAATATTAATATTATAATTAAATGTGACGATATGTAGAACATATTTATGGCCAACTAGCGTTGGCTTAAGTGACGCTTTAAACAGGCAAATACATATTTTTGACTAGCATACGAAGGAATGTTAAAAACTGACCTTTGGCGTATTCCGTCTAAGAAACACTAAGCTAAGGGTTTGCAGTAATTTAGTGCTGAGATTAGCTCAGGACTCGATCTTTTTGATCAGAACATCGAACGTCCGAAATAATTACATAACCACTAGTAGTTGTTACCTTGCAGGACATCCAAGGAACACCGCACTGGCTATGACGTGTATTATAAGAACTATGTGTTGAACCAAAAAGTGCGAGAATTCTGCGTAGGATCTACATACCTTGCTGTATTCTGCTGTGAACTTGAGCTTATAAGGTTTCTGCAGCCTGGAAATCCCAAGCTTAGAGAAAATCAGTTCAAAGCCTTGTCCCTTTTCCAGCAACTTGTTGATGACATCAAGAGCTCTGGATGTCGAACTCCACCTGGTAACATCCGGGTGTGGCAAGTAGATCCCGCAGTGGGTCTTAATCACGTCAGCTGCTTGCACCGACTGCCCTAGCTTATCGCACAGTTTCAGGCACTTGCTAAACACAGTTCGTTTTATCCTAGCGTATTCATATGCAGTGTCAACTGAATCCACCATCACTGCGTGAACACTTGCAATAATGTGCATAATGTGCGCAGAACACTGGTGCTGTGGTGGAAGCCGGTTTGAATTTCTTGGCGCTGTCGATAAGCGAACATAACCGTACAGTCAAATCAAGTTCCTTCATTATGTGGCGCACACCCACGCTGGAGGATTGTTCAAGCGCCGGGTGGTTTTCACGAAAGACTTCTTTAATAAAAAAGTTAGGATTGATCTACTTACATAAAAAAATTAAACAGGACGAATTTAGAACAGAACGAAGCGGCCAATTTGAATTAAAAAATGGATTTGGAAAAGTAAACAAAATTAGGGAAAGCTATTTCAAAACCTAAACATGTTTGAACTATTGACTAACCCCTGCCGAGGCTTGCAGTTCTTCTCGCCTTCCTCGTCTTTTTCATTTTGACCACAGGCCCTGCGAAACGCCAACTGAATACATCGCAGTGTGTACCAGAGCTCTGTAACTAAAAAAAAAAAAAAGAAGAGTGAAAGGGCTGTGCAAGTAATTCTCTCCAACCGGGAAGCTTTTAAGAAATTCGATCCATCGTCTGTAATCTCCTTGGTGACCTTTCCATGGAGGTTGAATTCACTGAAGACTTCTTCAAGGGTAGTGACCAGGCTTTCGTATGTTACGCTTCTCCATTCGGTGACAGGCTATCGCTGCAACCTTTCGGTCTAAAGTCACTGGGTTGAGCCATATATGGAGTTGTCGCTTCAAGGTAATGCCTGGAAAATTTTTTTTTATAAGACATTGTACCGAACACTCAAGTGTATAAAAATGCACAGTTTAGAAAGTGGACCTAGCTTGTACTAACGTGGAGGGGCGCACAACTGATGCGCCAAATATATATTTGTTCGTCGTGGAATTGCTATCCAGCCCGAAGAGTTAGTTTTGGACACAAAGTACGTTTTTCGTTTATGACCTGTACTCAATTCTTTGCGATGAAAACAATTTAGACGATGAGGTGAACATTAACCAACTCGCAAACTCTTCACTATATACACCTTTAAGTGGCGAGGCTCCTTAAGCCGTGGGTCGTGTGTCTGTGATGTATGTAGTAGTAGTAGTTGTCGTAGTGGCAGTAGTAGTAGTCGTCGTAGTGGTAGTAGTAGTAGTGTGTCGTAGTAGTTCGTAGTTACCTCCACAGCCGGACTAGAGGAGCAGCACGCGCGCCCTCATTTGAATTGAGGAGGAAACCCACGCACGTTAATCATAAATAAAGATATATATAGTTGCTTCTTAGTAAATAACCTACACA